GGCAAAAAGCTCTAGGTACCCCCTGCTTGAGCAGGGGGATGGAACAGATGACCTCCAGGGGTCATCTCAACTGCTCCAATCTCAACCGTTTTGTGATACCATATTTATTGGTTCCCCCATTGCTCCCCCTTCAGCTTCAGTGAGTCATTGGGACTGTTTCTCATTGTAGCAATACCTTCCATTTCCTCAGCTGCACAGATATTTCAGGACAAATTTTTCCCCAGCATTTGCACAATGAAGTCCTGAGTGTCAGACTACAGCACCACAGATGAGTAAGAACAGACCTGCCAGATGTCCAGGTTTGATCTGAGCAGTCCAAACTTCAGCACTGCTGCCAGGAATTATCTCAAAGACTTCCTACAGCAGGAGTGAATCTTTGTATTTAACAAGTCATTGATATATTTTTCTTCTATGAATTAATCTAATCATTTTTGGAACAAATGCAAATCTTTAGCATCCACAATGTCCTGTGATCAGCAGTTTCACAACTAAGTAACATATTTGATGGATTATATTTTGCATTTGTTTTGAACCTACCATGGGCTGAGCAGCTTTGGCACCCACTAATTCTTGCACAGAATGAAGAAGTTCCCTATGCAGATCTTGCCATTCACAGCTTTATACATGCATAACCTCTATCAGTTCCTTCTTCGAGACCAAAGAGCCCAGATGAGGATTCAGCAAACTGTTCCTCATACAGGAATCATTCCATTCCTTCATTAGAAAATCAGTGATCTATGAGACAGAACATTTACAGTGTCACTATGTTCTTAAGAGGACAAATTATAAAATGTTCAAGATGTCATAGACTTATACAGTAACACATCCATTTAGTGATGAAGAGTTCAAGAAAGAAAAGAGCACAAGCAAAGGATGTTGCTGAGTGGATGATGTTAATTGCATCTGAGCTTCACAATGGAGCATGATGGCTTTAGAGCTGTGAATAAGCCTGGGAAATGCAACATTTCTACACAAGCAGTGAAAAAGAGTCTTGTGACAGAAACAGCAGCTGCAAAGGGAGGAACAAGTAGCATCCACAGAATTTGTTTTAACCATTCATGAGATAAGTGACAGCCACAGTGTTGGTGTGCAAGACTATGGAAACAAAAGTTACAGCTACGATATTTAATGTACACTGTGTGTACAACAAAATGTGAACACACAAAGACTGAGTGAATTTTTGGTCCTCCATGGAGGAAAATCCATATATATTGTGTGGCCCTTTTTCATCAGCAGACATCAAACAAGAGACCGAGAAACTGTCTCTCAGTTAGCTATTTTCATAAACCAGAAGACAAAAAGCCTCCAGATTTTTAGGAAGACATTTGTAAAACCTCCTTGACTATACCAGAGCACACAGGCATGTGCCATTTACAAAAATCCTTGCTACTCTGGTCTGTGGCAGCATTAGCTTTGCTTAAATTTGGCAACCACTCAAAATTTACTTATCCTGATTCCACAGAAAGGCTCTTCTCATAAAATTTCCACATTTCTTGTATTTTCAGACTGCTGCCTTCATCAGTTCTATGCTTCCACTCTTTGCCAAAGCAATTGAAGCCAGAAAAATAGCACGTTAGCATGGAATAGAAGCACTCACTAGGTTTTCATGGTAACTATCTCAAAAACAAGTTCATTTTATTCAAAGATGTATTCATTAGCAGGAAATGCAGACCTGACAGAAAATATATGGTGCATGAAGCTCTTCCAAATAAACAAAGATTTTATTTTGCTAAAGATAGCTCAACATATTATGGCAATATCAGGAAGCAATACTCACACTGATTATTTGCAGCAACATCTGTAAGCACTGTGCACTCTGAGCATTTTTGCCCTAATGAACACTTTAAGGTCTGATACAAGAAGTGGAATAGAAAATGAAGTTCTCAGAACAGAATCATGCTCATGCTTAAAACAAAACCTCAGGTTCACCTCTGATGTTTACAGAGGAAGTGGAGAAAGTAAAAGTTTGAACAATAAATACAAGTCTAAATACAGTGATTGTTGCAGTGAGGGTAGCAAGGAGGATACACGGACGAATTGCATTGACCTTTCTGTTAGCCGCCTCTCCACTAACAGGTTAATGTGGAAATGCTAACATGGCACTTTTAAGTCTCATCTGTGAATTTTTCAATTAGTAAATAAAAAGGAAGGAACAATAATAATTTTGCCAACAAAAGCAGCCTTTAGGGTTTTGGGTCTTTTTTAATTCCTAAAGAGAAGAAATCTGACAGAAACAATGATAATGGCAAATTACTGTTATCATAAATATTCTATTAATCTCCCCTTGCAACTTTATACTTGAATTCTGAGCTTATTCTTCTTCTGTCAATGATTCATATATATATTTGTACAACCTAGACTGCTAGCCTACAGGTTACTAGTTGTGCACACAAGTGATGCTCTGCTAACTAAATTTTGTTTGCAACAACAGAGATCTGTCATATATACAGACCGCCTGATCAAGGAGAACCTGCGGATGAAGCACTCCACAGACAGATAGGAAAAGCCTCACGCTCGCAGGCCCTTGTTCTCATGGGTGACTTCAACCACCCTGACATCTGTTGGAAGGACGGTACAGCCCGGCACAAGCAATCCAGGAGGTTCCTCGATTGTGTAGAAGACAACTTCCTTGTGCAAGTAATAGAGGAGCTGACAAGGAGAGGTGCCATACTTGACCTTGTGCTCATCAACAGGGAAGGGTTCGTTGGAAATGTGATGCTCCAGGGCAGCCTTGAATGCAGCGATCATGAGATGCTCGAATTTGAGATCCTCAGACAGTGAGAAGAGCGTGCAGCAAGCTCACTGCCCTGGACTTCAAAAGAGCAGACTTTGGCCTCTTCAGGAACCTGCTTCGGAAGGTTCCATGGGATATAGCCCTAGAGGGCAAAGGGGCCCAAGACTGTTGGTTGATATTCAAGGATCACCTGCTGCAAGCTCAGGAGTGTTGCATCCCAACCAGAAGGAAGTGCAGCAGGAGGGCCAGGAGACCTCCTTGGATGGATAAGGAGCTCCTGAGGAAAATTCAATTGAAAAAAGGGGCTTATAATAAGTGGAAGCAAGGACAGGTGGCATGGGAAGAGTACAGGGATGTTGTCCAGGAAGCTAGGGACCAGGTTAGGAAAGCTAAGGCTCAGTTAGAATTAAACTTAGCTAGAGGTATTAAAGATAACAGGAAGGGATTCTACAGGTACATAGCAAATAAAAAACAGACTAGGGAGAATGTAGGCCCCCTCAGGAAGCTCTCAGGAGAACTGGCTCACGGGATTTGGAGAAGGCTGAGGTTCTGAATGACTTCTTTGCCTCGGTCTTCACTGCCAAAGGCTCTGACCACACCACCCAAGTCTGGGAAGGCAGATGCAGGGACTGTGAGAATGAAGACCTTGGGCCCACTGTAGGAGAGGAACTGATTCGAGACCATCTTAAAAATCTGAACATGCACATGGGACCTGATGAGATCCACCTGCGGGTCCTGAAGGAGCTGGCAAATGAAGTTGCGAAGCCGCTGGCCATCATATTTGAGAAATCATGGCAGTCAGGTGAAGTTCCTGATGACTGGAAAAAGGGAAATATAACCCCCATTTTCAAGAAGGGGAAAATGGATGACCCGGGGAATTATAGACCAGTCAGTCTCACCTCTGCGCCTGGCAAAATCTTGGAGCAGATTCTCGTGGCAGGCGTGCTAAGGCACATGAAAATCAACAAGGTGCTTGGTGACAGCCAGCATGGCTTCACTAAGGGGAAATCCTGCCTGACCAATTTGGTGGCCTTCTACGATGGGGCTACAGAACTGATGGACAGGGGTAGAGCAGTTGATGTCATCTACCTGGACTTGTGCAAAGCGTTCGACACTGTCCCGCACGACATCCTTGATGCTAAATTGGAGAGACATCAATTTGATGGATGGACCACTCGGTGGATAAAGAACTGGCTGGATGGCCGCACGCAAAGAGTTGTGGTCAATGGCTCAATGTCCGGCTGGAGACCAGTAACGAGTGGTGTCCCTCAGAGATCAGTGTTGGGACTGGTCTTGTTTAACACCTTTGTTGCTGACATGGACAGTGGGATTGAGTGCACCCTCAGCAAGTTTGCCGATGACACCAAGCTGTGTGGTTCGGTTGATACGCTGGAGGGAAGGAATGCCATCCAGAGGGACCTTGACACACTTGTGAGGTGGGCTGATGCCAGCCTCATGAAGTTTAACCATGACAAGTGCAAGGTCCTACACCTGGGTCGGAGCAATCCCAGGCACAGCCACAGGTTGGGCAGAGAAAAGATTCAAAGCAGCCCTGCAGAGAAGGACTTGGGGGTGTTGGTTGATGAGAAAATGAACATGAGCCGGCTTCAGGTGTGCGCTTGCAGCCCAGAAAGCCAACCCTATCCTGGGGCGCATCAAAAGGAGTGTGACCAGCAGGTTGAAGGAGGTGATCCTGCCCCTCTACTCTGCTCTCCTGAGACCTCACTTGGAGTATTGTGTGCAGTTCTGGTGTCCTCAACATAAAAAGGACATGGAACTGTTGGAACAAGTCCAGAGGAGGGCCAGGAGGATGATCAGGGGACTGGAGCACCTCCCGTATGAAGACAGGCTGAGGAAGTTGGAGCTGTTCAGCCTGGAGAAGAGAAGGCTGTGTAGAGACCTCCTAGCAGCCTTCCAGTATCTGAAGGGGGCCTATAGGGATGCTGGAGAGGGACTCTTCATTAGGGACTGTAGTGACAGGACAAGGGGTAATGGGTTAAAACTTAAACAGGGGAAGTTTAGGTTGGATATAAGAAGGAAATTCTTTCCTGTTAGGGTGGTGAGGCACTGGAATGTGTTGCCCAGGGAGGTTGTGAATGCTCCATCCCTGGCGGTGTTCAAGGCCAGGTTGGACGAGGCCTTGGGTGATATGATTTAGCATAAGGTGTCCCTGCCCACAGCAAGGAGCTGGAACTAGATGATCTTAAGGTCCTTTCCAACCCTAACGATTCTATGATTCTATGATTTAACCCCAGCAAGTTGGGGCATACTTATTTTCTGATTTTTCTGGCTTCACAAAGGTCAAATTGTGCCTGACTAACCTGGTAGCCTTCTACAACAAAGTGACTAAATCAGTGACAAACAAAGATTGAATAAAACAAATGAAGAGCTACTTAAGTACCTACTTTAACTTCTGCAAGGCCTTTGACACAGTCCCACACAACATCCTTGTCTCTAAGTTGGAGACATAGACTCTTCTATGGATAAGGAATTGGGCAGATGGCCATGACCAAAGAGTTTCAGTCAACAGCTCAATGTCCAAACAGAGCTTAGTAACAACTGGTGTCCCTCAGGGTTCTGTGTCTGGTACTGTTGAATAACTCCATTAATAACACAGTGGGATTAGTTCATTCCCAGAAAGCCTGCAGATGACACCAAGCCAAGTGGTGCAGTTGATATGCTTAAGGGAAGGGCTACCATCCAGAGGGACTTTGACAGGCTTAAGGAGTGGGTCCATGTAAACCTCATGAAGCACAACAAGGCCAATTGCGAGGTCCTGCAACCTGGCACAGGGCAATAACCAGTATCAGTACTGGATCAGGAGTAAATGGACTGGGAGCAGCCCTGCAGAGAAGGATGTAGGCATACTGGGGGATGAAAAATTAGGTATGAGCCAGCAATGTGTACTCACAGCTTAGAAAGCCAATCATATCTCACTGCTGCAGAATCCACATCCTCTGGGCACAGCGCAACCACTACAGTCAGATCTCTCTATGGGTTTGTGCATCTATCAGAAGGTCACTTCCTGACTACAGAATGTAAAAATCTGCATTCAATGATAGGTTGAACAAGCACAGAGGTACCTGGAAGTGAGGTTATGCTCTGCATATCATACCTGGTCACAGTGTCAAATGCTTGTCCTCAGAAGCAGATCTGATAACAACTGAACTTTGAGCTCTTTTCAAGCTGCATCTGGGCTTTCCTTTGAAAACTTGAGCTTTAGGACAAAGATAAGTCAACCCAACTGCAAGACAAAGTCACCTTCTTTTACTTAAAAGCACTCTAACTGACCAAATGATTTTTTAATCCCTTGTCCACCGGGGCACAGGTCAGAACTCATATCCACAACTAGATACATCTCATCTCAGAACGCGCAGGTATGTATGCATACAATGTTGCTATAAACATACAATTACAAGTAAATGTCCTGACCTACTATTCAACTCCAATTACTTCAGTGGTTTTGTCATCCTTTGGCCAGAGCAAATTATTGCTTGCAGTTAGTTTTGCATTATGAAGTACCTGGGATGAAGTACATTTCATCCAGCAGCGCTGTGATAAGTGCTGTAAACTCAAGCTGAATTCAAAGAACTTACTGGAGTCTTTGACAATAAAATGGGAAAAATTTGCATATACCATGATCCAGATCTGTATCTGTCATAGTCCATGTTCCACTACAAATATTGTCCTATATACTCATTTTCAAAAAAGAAAAATCCATTTGTGACAGAATGACGAAGATGCTAATTACAGTTTCTTAAATTAAACCTGCTCTGCAACAGATATTTTGGAGGAGTTGGCTACATTACAGAATGCTTTACAGTCTCCTTTTGTGACTCCATCCAAGGCCAAAATCCGATTAATTGCACAGTGAAAACCTTGAACAATCTCCAGACAAACAGAAAATGGGATATGCCAAAATTGGTTGAATCCAAAAACATCTTCCAGTGCACACATTTCAAAATAGCTCAAAGTGTGATGTTCTACCAATAAAAAGCCTAAATCAAAGCATAATTGATCAAATAAGTACAAGACTTATCTACAGCCATTTCCAACCAATGTGATCAAAGGCAGAAAAGGAAAGCTCTAATAACAGTACAGAGGATTTTAACTTGATTTCAGTGGGGCAAGAAATACAGTCACATGAAGAGATATTTTTCTATTAAAACAACAGTGACATCATTCAGCCACTGAGTTTTACAATTAATTCTCAAAGACTTCTTAGTCACAGTCTATCCATTGACATACTACCTTCTATACATTATTTTGCAGGAAAAGATTAGCAAAATATAACTGCAGGAAGCTGCACAAAACAAGGCTTTCATCTGGTGCATGATGGAAAATGAGCAAAATAGTCTTCCCCCCCAAAAAGTACTAACCTAAAGACAGTGCAATATATGTGAAACCCTGTGACAGATTGAAAAGCAACACCATTCAGCAAGACCAGACCAAGAAATTGTTGCCTGGCTACAATGACTAGCACAAAACTACACAGAACTGAGTAGCAACACTAAAACTTTGAGTACAACATAAATGGAGGTTAAGACTAACTGAAATTTATCATCCACTCCCACATCCTAAGTCACTATAAAAAGGGCATATTTTTCTGCTCAGTGATTTTCTTAACTATTTTAAGAGCTTATAAAACTACAACTAGTTTTGCTTCACTCTTTAAAGAATTCTGATATTTATTACTAATAATCTAGGTTCAATGTCTTTGCCCATGTTCATTTTGTCCCAGTTTTTGTCATGAAACAAAAGAATCCAAAAGCAGATGGGCTTGACATGAACCCTGCTGCGCACGAATTCTGACACATAAAAAATGAAATGCAAATAATTAATGAAAGTCCAAGAATTTTAGCATACAACTAAGGAATAAGATTGTCCAACTGTGTCATTAGGACTGACTTCCTTTAATTGAATGAACATATTTGAGATTTGGGCATTGCAAACAAACCATAACTAAGGAAAGGAAAATTTTGCTGTGGAGGAAAGAATTATGGTGTTGTGGCTGCTGTTCATAGGATCCTCTCTAGCACTGGACAAATTTTGTTAGGACTAGATTACTCTGGGAGGGAAAAACAAGGCATTATCTAAGAGTATCTATCAATGTTTATCTTATTGTAAGTACAACTGCTGACCAACATACTAACACCACAGGAACCAGGCTATTCCAAAAGGAATAGCCTTGCGGTCCCCAAATATTCACTCCTGTCACCTCACACCATCTTATGCATCTAAATATGAACTAATTTTAGCTTGGTAACAGACATGTGAGGACCGTAATTATCAAAAGGTTGAGGCCATATATCCACAAGATTGAGTCCCAATTCACTGATTACAAAAAGCTAAAGAAGAAATTAAGTCTTATTGTAGAGAATATTTGCAGGAACTACATTTCACTTTTCACCATGGAGGAAGAAGGATGTCTGCACAGCAGACAAAAACATCTCAGATAACACTGTTAAACAGTACTTGTGACTGAGATTAATGACTACAGTTTGTGCTGTGGATAACTCTCCAACAGAAAGCAGTGCTGCATTTTGTTTTACAAACACATGGCTTCTGTACCCAGAAGCGTTTAAAGGCACTGACTGCATCAAAAGTGGTGACTAATTATTCAAACAATTTCAAAGAAACTTGCCTGGCAGCTTGCATGGGGCAGGGGGAGGGAATAAACCCCAAGTTTGCTATTTCTATCCAGGGGAAACAGTAAGAGGGTGAATATCTGCCTTCCTGCTACTTGTTAGGGTGAGAAAAGAAAAATAACTGTAAGGTACTTTGTCACTTACAGCCTGGTCTAAGATCAAGTCTCTATCAAAGCTCAGGACAGGGAAGGGTGGCATGGCCTCCACATCAGGCCCTCACTTGACCATGCTCCAGGCCTCCAAATGGAATCCCATCCTCCCTGTCAGGCTTGCCTTCCTCTCCATTATGCAAAGTCTCTTGGCTTCCACGGAACCAAATTTCATTGGTCCTCACACCTAATTGTTGGCCATTCCCACATACCACATGGGCCAGGACTTGAGCACCAGCTTGGGAACACTCGTTCCCGAGGTATCACAGTAAGCAGACAGGGCAATGGCCAGCCCATATGAAAGCCTCATCTTCCTTTCTGTTTAAGGACTCAGCTGAAACAAAGCATATTTAAATCAATTATTTTTCTATAGTTGACATCTGGCTTTTTTTTTTTCCTCCTTGAAGACATGGCTACAGAAGGGCCACAGGTGTATTCCAAATAAATGTTTCCTTCCCTGTGATCTTGCAGGGCCCATTGTACACTTCCCCTTCGAGCAAGTCCTCCTTTGAGTCAGTGGACAAGCCCACTGCTGCTGTAGGGAAACCAGCCCCCGGTAGGACATAGAGCATTACTCAGACTGAAGTGAATGCCAAATCAAGTCTGAGAGAGGCTTAATGACACTGGCAATACCAAGTAAAACACTAAGGACCTCGTACACAGTACTCATGTTAATAACGTGCAAGGGGAAGAAGCAAAATTGTACCATTTCATTTCCAGAGCTGGAACATCACCCGCTGATGTGGCAGGGAGCCTGCCAGAAAGCCAACCACTGCTTGTATCGATAACACCAAGATAAATGCACATTACAGCAAGCAGCTGTGCTACTGGAAGCATTCAGTGTTGCACTCTTGATGCCAGAGGCTCTGCTGCCTTTCTCATGAACAGCTCGATACACACACCCTCTTTGGAAAGAGGCAAAAGCACAGAGGACTTGGCACACTTGCCATGAACATTAACAGAGAGATTTGACTTTCTTGTGGCTTGTGGTTTTTATCTTACTGCTAAGATCAGATCAGCCAGTGTACATAGACTATGAAGTCTTCCATATCACTACCACAGGCAGTATAGGAACTACATATGCATGCTGTGTTTATGTACTTCATATCAGTGACAGCAAGCTGAGTATCACATTATTCAGCTCACATAGCAATGCCATTAACAACTAGATTTAAGTAGTTTTCATAACTGCAATGTAGTTTCAACACTATAATTAGTTATGCACAGTAGCTGGAAGCCTACCAGCTTATTATTAAACTGATTTGAAAAGCATTATGGTATATAAACTTCTATATACCATAATGCTTTTCAAATCAGTTTAATAATGCTTCATCACAGTATTTGACAGTGCCATTATATTTTTTTTTGTATCAGCACTGTGCAAGATCCAAAACAATCACTCCTGGGAGCAGTAGCAGGGCTGGCAGGCACCTGGCCATGCTGGAAGAGGGAGGGGAGTGATGCTGCAGCAGAGCATGGTTCTCTTATCACGTGGGCCTCCAGCACAAGTCCTGTCTTGGGGTAGGCACCACTCATGCCTCCAGTGGTCTAGTGAAGGACCACATGGAAAAACACACCAAATTTAAGCCAGAGATATCTTGGGGAGTAGCAGGAGTTACCTGAGGAAGCACAGAGCTGGGAATAAAGGATGGAGAATCTCCCCTCATACCAACAGATTTCTGGTCTAATCAAAATTACACAGTAGGCAGAGTTATTTGTATGGGTTCAGTATTTAGGCCAAATATACTTTGCAGTTTATAGAAAAAACTGTCTTATTGAGTTTGCCAATAATTACAGAATATGAACTTTCCACTTTCTACAAATCTTTTGACGGTTAGTAAATCTGTTTTAGTACTTCCAGGAAATGCTTTGTGGCCCAGGACATGTTTTTGCGGTAGTTAGAAATCAAAGCTTTTCTTTTTTTCTTTTTTTTTTTTATTTAACAAGAGCCTATTTCATTAGTTTAAATGTAAAAAGTAAGAAGCACTCACCAGCTTTGCACGTAGCTAAAGTGATCGACAACTGCACAACAAGGGTCCCTATGCCTCTCCAAGCATTCTGGTGCTTTATCAAGTAACTGGAAGGCTGAGCTATCATGTAGCAGGTCCTAGCTTATCACTGAAGTGCCATGAAATTTCCAATTCCATTTATCAAGAGGACATGTCTCTAAATTAGCTTATTTATTGCCTTTTTCAATCTGAAGATCAATTAAATCCAGTAACATTCTCACAGGAATACTAGTTGGTAATGCTCTTACTTAGCCAACTATTTTTGTTAAAATATTGACTGAAATTAGATTAATCTTTGTCAGCAATGACAATGATAAGGCCCGTCATCTTTATTTCCTTAGTTAAGGTAGTAGGAGCAGTGTTAGCTTCCTTAATTTTCTTGAGAAACTGAGTATTTAAGAGCTTCAGACT